GCGTTCTATAAACATCGGCAGTCTGTAACCTATTGAATCGTGGGTTCGTAATAATAATCAAATAAAATCCTCCTCTCAGAAGCAAGAGGTCTAGAATAAAAAATTAATGAAGTGATTACGTGTCTACATATATAGGCGATAAATAATTAACATACGCTTTATTCGATTTGTCATCCACTACCAACGAAACGCACTAAGACACGACCTATTTCCATTAATATTCCAAATTATTCCACGTATTCTACGTAATTCTTCCACAAGATATTCAATTACAAGGAAAAAAAGGAGGAAAAAGGCGAGAAGTACGAGGAGATGTTTCACCGTGCTCTATAATCGCTTTAGGACTCTCTAGAGTCTAAAGTGACGAGGACTGCTACGACTCCCTTTCGAGCACTCTCGGCCAAGTGCAAATACGAATCCCACCTCGATTACTTCCACTAACGACTTTCGCTACCGGAACGTAAATCCGAGACAGCGCAGGAAGCGGAGGGAAGGTCTATTAGATCTGTCCCGCGTCCTCCAACCAGACGAACCGAGTTAAACCCCAGCTGAAACTGAGTTAAGCACTGCGATACTTGGAGCACCTTGACCGTCGGAAATTGCCGTCCAAGAATTCGATCTGTTTGAATAACTCAAACAACCCTATTACCCCGGCGAATATCAAATTGCCTCGGGTCAATCTGATTGATAAGACGAAACTTCTTTTTTAGTTCGAGTACCTCGATCGTGAAAAGTCTGTTTTATGAGTTCAAAGAACTCTAAGAGGTCGAATGATCGTAACCCATAAACGATATCGTTTGAGTCGTAAATGATTAGAGTAGTCGGAGGTAAATATAAGTTACGATACTTTATCTTGAGATATATACATGTATAATCTTAATTAATGTGATTGGAATCGATATATAATTAATATCAACGATATCAACAGAAGGATAACGCTTAACGATCGGCTGTACTTTCTTTTCAGAACGTACTCTCTATAATTTAAACGAGTCCCAACTATATTCAAATTCCACGATCATTGCAATATTTCGATTATTCTATTTCTAAACGTCGTTCGATATTACTTCGACACACGCGTTCGTCAAATTTTCCACTTCCTACAAACTTTTATTCCTATCTATTATAATATTATTTTCTACATATAATTAACTTAACGAATAATTTCATCAAGAAGTATCTCGATTATCGTTTCAACCGTTTATCTTGTGATTCCCATGTATCCATATTACTCCGATATTTCAAATTTTCCTCTTTTATCACTTTACGACTTTAAAATCTATCCAGCTGTATAAAATCGCGAGACATGGCGATTGAAAATTTAAACGTGGCGCGGTTAGGCCCACGCTGAGCGTGACGTCAAGGGTGGTCCCCTCGGTGCTCTTCCACGCATACATACACATTCGTACGTGCGTTTTCGCAACGTTGCAACGGGCAGGATGTCGCGGAAGGGGTTGTGTTCTCGCACCGGTAACGCGATCAATAAGATAATTGAAGACTTTCTCGACAATGCCGGCGGAAGGGAGCAATTTCGCCATCTCCCTTGTACTTGAGCAAGGTCATTGTTTCCGAGGGGATTCTCATCTCGTTTCTAAGCACCATCCGCATCAACGGTTATAATTGTATCCTGCTGGTTTAAACGCCACACTAGCTGCCTACCTCCCATACTCAGAAACGAATAAATGCAGGAGAAATCCGACCCAAACGGTGGCCAGAACCGTGACTCATGAATTGCAGATTCGATCGATAAAACGGTGACGATAGGTTACGCGTGAAATAAAAAACACGACGAGTACGTATATTCGGATTAGTGATAGATAGAAACAAATATGGGAAGCTCGTCTTTTGTTTCTCTGTTCTCTTTTACTCGTAACTCGTTTAACCACGATAGAGAAAGAAGTAGAGTACAACGAATCCTCTATTATACGTAGATGAAAATTAACCGATAATAGTTTAATAACAACTCGCGTATTAGCGACTATATATTTCGATAATATGCAATAGATGCATGTTTTTAAGTTTTAATTTGTATACTAGCTAACAAATATTGGAAAATTTCATAATTAAAATAATAATTTGTATAACATTATATTATTGTATTTCACTGTTATATTCATTACAAGATAACATTGTATTCGTTCATTCTCAATTTCCAACTCAAAATTAGAATTACTATTCCTGTAAGCAAAATTCCAGTTCTAAAGGGTTAAAGAGCTCTATATTAAAAGACTGTAAACTCGTATAGAAGAGCAAATTCAATTAATCCTCAGCCACAGACACGCGAGCAAGAGTAAAGGGTTTCACGAAACGAGACATACGTGCTCGGTTAAAATCAACCGTGAAAAGAACAAGGAATAACGACTTGGTTACGAGATGCTGTAGCCCATCGAAACCGATCGAAAAACTGTGAAATGGTGTGCATACATCTTGATGCACCATGTATATCCGCGAAGAAACGATCCCAACGGTAATAGCGATATATAATTGGAACAAGCGTAGGTATTTGAAGGACGAGCACGTGCGATCACGGTCACGTGTCTTCCTTTTGTACATTAGAGTGCAGCGACACGAGTGTTCAAGAGCTGAAACTCTTCTCCGAGTATGGGCATAACGGTATCGAGGAATTTTAGAGACATTTATCAGGGGAAATTAAAGATCGAACGATCGGTTCCGTTAGGAAAGTTACATCGAAAGCAAATCCTCTTAAAACGACGAAGCAACTGTAAGGTTTACATACAATGCGACTTTTGTCACATTCTTTGGTGCTTCAGCTTTCTGGTATTCTTCGTATCAAGCTGTATTGTACTCGATATAATCATTTGTTTTTCTATTGGTAAATCAACAAGATTCAATAATCAAATTATTATTGTTACTAAATTCAGATATATACTAATTATTAAGTTTTAAATTTATCAGGTAAATACCATATCGATAAATACGATATCTTCATGGTACATGTATGAAATAACCAGAATAGGATGCGACAACTTTCTAATGGTTGTTACGAGCGAGATTTGCGACATGGCGGAATCGATATTAAAATCGATCTATATCCTGACTTATTGTTTGATAAAAATAACCTCCTATTAAAACTGATTTTTACCAAAATAGTTCTTATTAAATAAATACAACCATTTTTATATTCCTATTAGAATAATTGTTAGTTTTACAAGATATCAAACTCATTACTTTCTTACATGACAACATAACCTTAGTTAAGAAAAAGGGTAATTGATACTATTCAATATCCTTTTCAATATGTTCGTTTTTGCTATACTATGAAGAATCATTAATCCACGTAAAGATAAACTGGTCCCTATGTTAATTTAATTTATTTCTTAATTTTTTGCTCCAAAAACACCTTAATCCAAAAGATTACAATTTCACGATCTACTTATGATGTTATATAATACACTGAATATTTTGTTTAAAAACATTAAGAACTGTTCGATAAATATTAAAAATGCTTAAATTACTTGAACATTTTTCCCCCTGAAAAAGTATAAAAATATATGCAAGGGTCGATTTTGCGTGAACCCTCCATTTATATAGCATGTAAATAACACGGGAAGATAATAAATTTCGTACAGTTAATATACGGTGCTTGTCGTATCGGCATAAGACAGAATGTAAATAAAGCAAATGTCGGTAAGGCGAACCGCGAAAACAATAGATAATGCGTGACTTATAACGAATGTTACAGTTAATGGACTCTTCATCCGGACTATTTAACAAGCATGACAGCACGCAGCGCAAAATACGTTACGTATACGTATAGTAATAAGCGGAGAGAGTGGTTACATGTTACACGTGCGTGGACTTGTGTACGGAAGAGTATAAGTGAAAAGTGACCGGGTTACGATACTCGATATCGAACGTAATTACGCGCTCGATCGATTTGAAAAATTATTGACGTTCGATGCAGCTCAGACCGACACAATGTGCCCGCAGAACGTACATGCGTCATTTTTCTAAACGAATTACACATGATTCATATCCTCGTTACAATACAACCGCATAATGTTGCACTGATTCATAGATGCTTGTATGGCTTACTAGAAAAACAGTTGGTAAGATGCTACAGTACATTGATTGCCTGATGGATTATCATTATTGTATATAACATATTGTAATATAGCATTTATGGCAATTATAATACGTACTATACATTCATAAAGTTTTTAATACTCTAATGTAAAATATTAAATTCTTTCATAAAGTGCTGAATGCTTTTATGGACGGTGGGAATTGTTTTTCTCGCCAATTAGTCACGCGTATGTACAATGTGAAAATATACTTTCATTTTTGCAGCTACCGTACATAAACAATGGTAAGAAGGAAAAGATTGAATATTATGAAATATTAACTTAAAATGACATATTTGATATAGGAATGAGAATCATGGTACTCACAACCCTATTTCTAAGAAATAATGCACAAAAAAAAAAATATATCGATTTCACTAAAATAAATATAATATATTCTACTTCTATATTATATGTCTTGTAGTGAAAGTTTTGCTATTTACAAAAGTTTGAATTGTACCTACGGAAAGATTAAACAATTTCTAATTTCTTTACAAAGAGATGCTATTTACATAATAGAAACAAGCGACACCACACCGGCGCTGTGTGCAAGAAATACAAAATTTGCCCGGCAGTAGACGTATTACGAAATTTCGACCAAACTAATCATTCTCTGTTACCACACATGTATTTGTAAATAGAGACGATTGTCAACGCGATATGTACGTTTGAAATTTCGCGTAGGCTTAGCGTAAAAAACGGATAAACCGAGTACAGGGCGGCGACACCCGGCGTAGTCCCTACGAGGGTGGGTTTCCACGAAAGCATGCTGATAAAACCGGCGATCGATAAGGAGCCAGGGTATACGTTGTAATACGTGCAACATCAACGCGAAAACCATAGTAACGGATGCCTTACGAGTCGACTGTTCGAAATTCGATGATCAGTAAAAAGGACAAAGGCAAAAGGACTCACCGCTTGAAATTGCTCCAGCAACTCCTGCCGGTCGTCGATCGCAGTGGCCATGTTGTTCGAATATATAATCCTTCCGTCTTTCCTTTCTCTGCAGTCCCTGCGTGTAGCCCTTTTCACTCCCTCTTTCTCCTCTCTCTTAATTGATGTCCAGTGTACGGCAGTACACACCGATCAGACAGAGGAAATGTGTAACACGAGTCGGTAATTTTCACCCGGGGTACACGCGGGTAGTTACAAAAACGGTTACCTGGGGCGTTCTCGCACCTCGCGTACGCGTTTTTGGTTACGACGCGGTTACCAGCCAAACACCGCGAGGACGCGTCCTACTATTACGGAGTCGCAGCAAATACTGAGGCTCCGTACACCGTACACCAAACGAAGCGCGCGCCAGCCAGCCGAGCACACCCGAAAACGACCGAACCAGAAAGAAGGGACATTGCTGTCTTGACACCATAGGACAGGTCCGTGCCAGGTTCATCGAAAAACTTCAAATGTTATAAGTTGTAAACATTATCGTGCTTAGTTTATCTGCTTAACACACAAACAATCCTTTATTGACTCTTTTCTTTGTTTTCAGTCGTTATATTTTTTGACGGAACAAATTTTTGACGATTTCAAACCAGAAATATCGAATCGTCATTATCAGACTGTGGATTTTTATGCATTTATGAAAAATTTAAAGGTGCAAAAGTGCATAGAATGCATGTGATATGCGATATTGATATAAAATACCCAAAGTACAATACTCTCTATAATATTTAACAGGTAAAACAATTTTTTACCCAGATTTCATGTTCTTAATTATATTTATGAAAACATGAACTTATTAAATATACGCAGTCTACTTATTATATGTATATATAGATATATTCGTTGACTCCTTGCCTTATCATTTCTTTGGGAGCTATTTGAATAAGCGTTTAATTGTTCACCGTTATAGCAATATAGACCATATAAATTACTTTTGTAATATTATGTGTAATTTGTATTTAATAATTCGCAGTCTGAGGTATCGGAAGTGGATTTTGATTTAAACTTTCTTATAAATCTAAACTGCCTCTGTTCGAGTCGGATAGAACTATAACATATAAATTGTTCCGAGGCAGCATCTATCGATTACATATATTGAAAAGTACGGGAAAGTGATAACGTAGTATTGGATTGGAAACTAAGTAATGCCATATAATGACAAGATCCGCAATCACTTAGTCGCCAACCCAATAGAAGCTGTTTCTTAAATTTATCTTAAAATTTATTATTATTTACGTTATTTTCTTGCGATAAATTTAAACTAATGGAAGTGCGTGAGTCATTTGTTTTTTTTTAACTGAACATTAACCGTTTACTTACGTAATGAAATTAAAATATGAACAAAGGATCAGTTTGGAAACTGACTTGCAGATATAAGGCAAGTAGTTAACTACGTTTCTGTTATATTTCTACGATATATTCTACTCGATAGTGGTCGATAAACATATTTTTATAAATATCCTGTAACGTAAAAAATATTCAATTCTGACATTTTACGCTTCAACTTATGTTTTATGGATGAAATGTGGAATATTCTAGAGAACAAAAGCATCTCTTATTTGGATCGACTCCCTTCCACCATCAAAGCGCTTTACTTTTAAAAACCTGAGGGCGGAAGTTGTCCAAAGAGCGTCTCTTCAATCTGACAGAAGACATTCTCTCTATGAATCACTTCGTTCGTCATAGTTTCCTTCTTTCTCCAAATAAGAACCATAAAATACTTTTCGATTCGTCACCATATATTCGCCAAATTATATTGGATCAAAATTCTTATTAAACGAAATAATGCTCGTTCTGCGAAGGATTAAGTTCTTTTCTTTTACCTTGAATTGCCTTTATGATAAAATTGCTTAACATGTCACGGAATTGCTAGTATCTCATACCATAAAGGTAATGAAATGTTACTTTCATACACAGGAAATTGCACATATGTAAAATCGTCTGTAGAATAAAAGTAAATATCTTAAGCGGAAACTCAGTGACACAAGAATGTATCTGAATGTAATTCGCGTTATATAAAATAATTTGAAATTTCATTAATACCGTAGTGACTACGTCACGGACATTTAGGCAGATTCATATTTTTAATTAAAGAAGTGGAACATAAGCAAAGTTTTGTTTCTTCTACTAAATGTTATAATAAGTGATCTACTTTGAATATATCGTACATCTCCAAATTTTCTATAAATGTATACTAACGAGACACAACTATCACGAATATCAAAATTTAGAATCCGAAGTTACAAAATCTTTGTTGCAAACATACACATTGCAAAGATATCCGAGCAATCAATTATTAATTAGGTTAATAAACTTTTAATATATTTAAAAAGAACACCTTTAACGTTAACTATATGTTTGCAACAGCTATTCATAGTCTACCAAATACTTTTACGACCTCTACATATTTGTCGATACATATCTCGTAACTTCTATATGCATTTCAAACTTTGCCAACATATTACGATAGTGGTATCTCGCTAAAAAGTTAAAGAAATTCCAGAAAATGTTATACGACGAACATAAGAACATCCAGAAAACTTTTCCATGATGATCGTTTGAGCTTTCGTGAGTCACTGTACATTATTATTCTGCTTCGATATAGCGACTGCTCTATCAAGAACAAATAAAAGAGAAGGAGACATGATATTCAATAGCCATTACCTTTATTGCATACCTCGTTTTCAAAATGTTTTTTGTTTACTAGTTTTGCTGCTAACATTATCGCCTGTGGATAATATCAGTGATATATTCGCTACCGTTTGAACGCGAGGTGAAATATTAAAATGGAATGTCTAATAGGAAAACCGTGACTCGATTGACCATGAAACAACTTCGTTTCTCGCGAAGTTAAGCTGATCCTGGAACTTAGTATTTTTGAATGGATTAAAGAATATATTTGTAAAGTATAACGTAATGACGACGAAGATGCCACGATAAGACAAGACGCCGATTTTTAGACTCAAAGAAACGAACAACGAAATCCCGCGGTAGTGAGTCATTTTTTTTACATACACATACAGTAAGAGACAATAAAACGCTCGCTTAAATTGCGTGATGCGACGTGCAGTCTGTTTCCATGCTCGATTTCCTATTGGAAGGCATTGTTTAAACGAATGGACAAAGCAATATACATAATCCCAGCGCGCATTTACGAATGATATTTAAATTAGTAATGTTACTCTTTATTAATCTACTCTTCATCGCTTAATAATAAAGAACGGACATGATTGTTATCGACGAAAAGCACACGAAAGGAAAACAAAAGCACCTTTGAAAAATAAAATAGAAATCTGTTTTTTATACGAAATCAATTTATGCAAAAAAATACAAAAAAAAAAAATAGACTTTGTCTATGTCGTATGTAGATCGCTGACCTGGCTAAAATTTGAATATTCATTTGAAAAATCATATTCACACTCTAATCCTTCTTCTAACGCCTGAAATATTAGTTTTGCCGAAAGCTCTATCCTACACAAATACGAATCTTCTTCAGACCAGGCTTATTCAACTTCCCGTTGTGCGTAATATAGACGAGAAATTCATGTCTCGCCGAACTTTCATGTTCCGCCGCTCTTTATTGACATTCTATCTCTCCTGCCGGTCACACGAACACGCTTCCACGGACGTCGACCTCTTTTAAATAATGTTACATCATAGAAGATCGGCAATGATACTATTTTTAAGAAAAAAATGTCTTAAACGTCGGATGCATTTCCCAGATACTACTAATGCATCATCATATTGTTTTATCATAACGTTGAAAATTTGTACCTTTTATCTAATATACTAGCTTTTCTTTGTTTAAACTGTTTGGAAAAAAAAGCAAGAGAAAAAACAGTTTATGGTATTGAACGTACATGTACTTACACATTTACATTTAATATATTTTATCGGAAATCAAAGTGATATAATCTTACAAATAAAGGCTACTTTAACGCTATTTAGCCCTAGGTTACATTTACTGTCTCATAAATATTTCTGACTAAAATGATTCGCGTATAAAGGAAATAAACGATGTACCTACTATGTTATACGATAAAATAGTTATTTACGCAAGTGATGATGATAAAAGATCGTATATTCGTTGGAAGCTTTCCTCGTGATGGAATTAGCTTTTTTTTTTTTTTTTAAGGACAATCGAAAAAACACAAATAGATAAAAGTAAAATAAATACATAGATACACGATAATGGTTTTCTATCGACTAAATTTTTGGTGAAAAGTTTTCTTTCTTTTTGCGAGGTGTAAAGTTCGGAATAACCAAAACACGCTTAACGTAAAAGGGTCTATACTGATCTTTCTGCATAATATACAGAATAGAAAGGAACAAAGAAACAATCGAGTTTAACATAAAGATGGTTACTAGCAATGGTGCAACGAAAATTAAGTAACATTTTTTGACTATGTCGTTTGAATGAATGTGAACGATCGAATAAATACTAAGTAATCGTCATATGTAAGTCGAAGAAAAATTAAGCTAGCGTTTTAAAACCGCGAATGACAAATAAATATTAATTAGCAGAAAAATAATTATCATCGTGGTCAAGCAGTTTACAACGATATCACAAAATATAAATTTCAATTAAAATTGCAGGCATTTCAATATATCATAAAATTTTTAGCAGCCTGCCTCCCCTTAAAAAATGTGAATTCATCGATCAATTGTGAAAGAAACAAAATTACATGTTGAAATAAATATTAGCTGCACATGAAAATTAAATTGTGTTACGTGTAAAGCTAATGACATATAATTATAGCTTTGACTTATGAAAACAACGCACAATACTTCGTTTAATAATATCCTTCTGAAATAAATTCGGTAAATTTTTAATCTACTATCGGGTGCACGTTCCGTCAAATATTTCGTTACAAAAGAGAACCAAAATCAGTACTAAACACCTTGTGCTTATTATCAATGAAAATTATGAAAAATGAATTTCTTTCATTATGATGATTAGTATAATTGCTTGGAAACGCGTAGGGACTTGCCTATATTACGCCGAACGACTGATCAGTATTCAGCATAGTGTATGCTAATATTTCAATAATAAAGTACAACGTTCAAATATGTCCATTTTGCAATAGCTCTAAGTAATCACGCAATTTCAATCTTTCTTTTTATGTCACTAGTCTCACAATGTATTTTTAATGATAGTGTACCACCTCATAAAGCATATAATTTTATTATTCGTTTCTTTCTTCTTTTCCTTTTCTATCTTTTTTTTCAATGCTCATCTCGATTAATAAAAAATGATTCTAAGTACTTTGTATAAAATACGATAACCAATGTACGTACATATGTATACATATATATAATATATATAATATAAAA